TAAAAAGGAAAAAAAGTTAGAAAAATAAGAAAATATATTTTATAACAAAATACTTATAAAAATAAAATTATAGTAGTTATTTTAGGGTGTTCACTCTCTTTGAGAGAGTGCACACCACTGACTTGTTAGATGAACAAAAAATGATGCAATTATATCTATTCAAAATTGTTTAGTCGGTAATAGGATGATTGTAAAGTTAAGGTTTCTTTTTAAAAATTCGGGACAACTTTAGCGGTGATTTTATGTCTTTTCTCTTATAGTATATTTATGTAAGTTATAAAAAATATTTTGAAATACTTATAACCCACGGGCTGACCTCTAAGGCTTGCGAGTAGGGCATACGAGACTAGCAGACCAAATGAAGCTGGGCTAAAAAATCTCGTTCCTAAATGAGCCAAAAAATTAGGCCCAACTTCACTTAATTCAAGGAAATTGGTTGGGGCGGAGTAGCAGGCCAAGACCATTTTCTGTTGAAATAATTTTGAACTTTATTGATTTGAAGTGATAAATGAAATTGAACTGAAGGCCTCGTTTGTTTTCATTAAGATTAAGACATCTGAATCTGAATAGACATCTGAATATTAAGATTGCATTAAGAGTTAGGTGTCTAGATATGAATATATATCTGAATAATAAGATGTAGTCTCAAAATCTGAACACTGAATGATTATTGTTTGTTTTAAATATTTGATGTGCATATGAAATCAAACATTATATTAATAAAATGTTATAAAAAATTCATTTTAAAAAATATATTACTTTTTGATTAAAAAAATAGCATAATCATCAAGCATATTATAAATGAAATCATAAATAAAAAATATTTATAGGCACAATATAATATCACAAACTCAATAAGTATGATAGATACTAGTCAAAAAATAATAAATAAGGTATCACACTATAAGTGCCTCACATATATTTTGGCTAATCAGAAAAGCTAAAGAATTCTTATATTTTTTTCAATAATCTTAATCCAATTCTCTAACTTCTTTCATGTTTTTTTGAAGCGCACACTTTCACAAATATACTAACACATGTACTATATAATGACTCTTCCCATCCAAGTCCATCTAATTTTTCCATATATTCTTCAAATCTGCACTATTTTTTTTAATCAATAACTTCAGAGTAGTAATCATCTTCTCATAAATTTCCATTAGACGAAATAGTTTTTTTCTTTTTTTTCCCCAGCTAAAACTGAAGATTGGGATGTAGAATTATTAGGACCTAAATTATTTTTTGTTACTTACTAGTTCAACAACAACAATATATAAAAGAGTCTCAATAATAATATTGGCCTAAGACAATATTCTAATAAGAGATCTCAAATATGTATACATAGTTATTATTTTTAATTATGAATAACATTTTTTTACTCAAAAATCTTGATGAACTTAAATACACTAAAAATTATTGCAACAAGTGTTCTTGACAAACATCAATACACCCTAAGAAAATTATTAATATAAAAAAATAATTGTAAAGATTATGAAAACTCATCAGTTCAAGAGAAAAAAAATGGTGTTTGATTGAGAAAAAAGAGAAATAAAGTTTGTAGTTGAGAGAGCAAAAGTCGCACAAAGACCGAGAGAAGCGATACAATATTATTTTATAAATTATTATATAAGTTTGAACCGGTGTTAAAACTCTCTTGCAAATATGATGCGCTCGCCCAGCAAGAAAGGCCCTGACCCTGCCAACCAAGTATCAAAAAGAAAGAAGAGAAAGAAAGGAGAAGAGAACTTCGTATGCGTTCAAACCTTTTTAGGTTTATTAAGAGTTTTTTTTTTTTGAAAAAAAGAAACAAATGGATTGAATATGAATCATTCAGATTCAGGCCTACAACCCAAACACACTATCGTTTGGTAGAGTGTATAAGAATAATGCAAAATAGGGTGCATTATTAATATTTGCATTAGTAGTGCTTGCATTATTAATACTTGCATTAGTTATGCAAGCATTATTTCTTATACATTGTTTGGTTTGATGTATAGAAATAATAAATCTTGTATAATTTTTATTTGAAAATATACTTTTACAAAATATCGTTCACACTTTATTTACTTTTACACTTTCTTGCAAGTTGCAACAAAGTCATTTGCTAAAATATCATTAACTCCTCTTCTTCTTCTTCTTTTTTTTCAAAAATAATATTAAATAGTTGTACTATTTGAGTCAAAATATTTTTATGAAAAGTTGGATTTTTTTTATCAAATTTATCGCCACAATTGTAATTTTTCTTATTAAATTATGTTGAAATTAGATTATTATTTTTTTACAAAAAATATATAAGAGGCCATTAAATCTATTAAAACACCAACAAATTAAAAGACATAGAAAAATAAATGAAAATAAAAACACATGACAACAAAGAAAATTAAAAAAAATCAAAATGTTAGGAAATGTTTCAAAAAGGCTTTCAGAGTAGTTTTGTAATTATTTAATCTAATGCAAGTTTTAAATATAATACATTGCATAGTAATTGTTAGAGAAAAAAAATGTTTAAAAAAATACCCTCCACAAATATAGTGAAAAGGATATAAGAAAAGTTTTTAAGGTCAATTGTGTCTTTTATAATGTTAATGCATAGAACCATTGCATTACTAATCCATCGAAATAGACGGTATTAGTAATGCACTCTTTAATACACAATAGAGTGTATTACTAATACAAGCATTAGTTATGCATAGGTTAGAAAAATGTACTAAACAAGATACTACTAATACATCAAGCTAATACATGCATTATTTTCTCTAATACACTCTACCAAACGATCCCTATTAATGAGATGAAACTGAATGATTAAAATTCAAACCTTCATTAAGCGCAAACAAAACGAGACCGGCAAGTGAGATTGCTATCAATCTGTGATATCTTATTAATCATAACACAAAATCTTACAATAATTCAACAAGGAAAAAATGGCTCTTCCCCTTCCTTTTGGTGGCCTTCATAACTGACCAAATAATAAAATTTAAGATGATCAACTAAATAAGAAAATCATTCATCATTGATAGTTTTTTCTCTCAATATTATCCGCACATCGCGCAAAAACTATACTAGTAAACAAGTAAAAAATCGAAGGTATCTTCATTCCATGTTTCTCATTCTTATTCATTCAAGGCCTTGATAAATGCATCCTTGAGATGAGCATTTGTAGCAGCTACTCGTCGAGCTGTGAGGTCGAATTCTGAACCAGATCTGAAGAAGAAAAACTATTAAACATCAGACATATCGAACTATCTGTCCATTAATCGATTTTGTCTCAATCCTAAAACAATTGGGATCGGCTATATGAAGTACCACACTTTGTAGCTCGTTAAGAACACATTCTTTCGACTCTAGAAACCTTCATTTACGTCTAAATGAGAATGATACTTTTACCCCTCTAATAGAACAATGAAAACTTCATATCATACTATATTTCATTATTTGGGAAATTTCATGAGGAATAAAGTATATAACTCACGGATCAAACACGAACCCTCCAGCTTCTTTCACAATCACAGCACCACCTGCAACATCCCTATACATAGACACAAACGTTACCAATATGTCGAAAGTTACAACTTTACAAGATGGAAAAGAATTTATAAGCCTTACCAAGGGCCACCAAATTCAAGTTCGTAGAAGAGATCAAGCCTTCCACACGCAACTCCACAGAGATTTAATGCACAAGAACCACACATACGAAGGGACCTAACCTGTAATATAAAGATCAAACCAATTTTTTTTTTAAAATTGTCGGAACATATTTTTAACTGAAAACTTGGATGTTTTGGTAGGTGTTGTGTAACCTTGAAAAGCAAGCTATTGATTCTCCCTGTTGTAGCATCTACAACTAACTTATCCCGGTTTGTTCCAGCCTGCTCCGGTAAAATAAAATGTCAGTAACTTTTCCTAGTATAACCGAATAGATAAACAGAATAAGTAAACCAACATATAGATAGGCATAAATCCAATAGCGAGGAAAACAAATCTTTTATGCTTCATCGTAGCATAACCATAATACTCAGCAACAACTATTATCGAGAATCATCTGACGACTCACATGGAAGAAATACAAGGCTGCTAGAGATTCACAGGGAAGACAAATATATTGGCTAAGAATACGCCGCAAATTGGACAAGCAACAGAACCTGGTTTCTGTATGCATTTAATCGAACTGGTTTATATATCCTATTTCACATCTTTGTAGAACTCAGGACGGGCAGTCTAGCTTGAAGCAAAATAATCGAAGGCATACTTCACCAATTTTATGCTACTTCCGAGTTAACATAAACCAAGATGGAAGTTCAATTAGTTGTAGTTGACAAACATTGCGAAAACAATTTAAATTTCAAGTTCTTACGAACCAATAGTTACAAAAGAAAAGATAAACCAAAGTAGTTCTTTGTGTGTCACATTGCATTGAAAGATTTCAGCGGGGTTGCAATTGTAAACAATAGTTAGGAGATGCTGTCATTAAGCAAAATAAATAAAGGAAGGTCAAGTACCTCTGTAGCAAGAAGAGCCTTCACGAGTTCAGACTGTGAAGATACTGCAGGTATTAAAACAAGGCAGAAGATTTGTTAGAGATCGATAGGTTTAAGCATGATGTTGTGAAAACTACACTATAACCAATATGCAACAATACCTTTGATAGGCTTCCCGTTGAGAAAAGCACCTTTCCCATCAATACCGGTGAAAAGCTGCATTTCAAAAGCAAAAATCGTCTTACTAACTTGAATCATCAATTAAGATAGAAACAATATAAATAAAACGAATAAGCACCTAAGGGTGTGGCCTAATGGTCAATGAAGTGTGTTGAGCACCATGAGGACCGTGCAAATGAAAGATCCATATAGGCAAAACAAACTAGTTGGAAATAAAGGTTAGTTGCTGTAAAACTCTTAGGATTATTTTAGTCTGGTTAGAGACTTGTATGTTTGTGAAGGGGCAAGCACGAAATCTAGAGAACCTTATAGTTTATAGAGTACGTCTTATTTGTTTTAAAAGATAAACGATTTAGTATTGGAATGAATTGGACCTAAATATAAGGAAATGGATGTAGAGGGTTCATGCAGCGGAACTCAACTAAAAATTGAAGCATTGTTGATTGAGATATCTGACCTCGTCGATAATTGGGTTGTAAACAACACCAACTGTTGGTTTCTTTTCAATTGTGAGACCGATTGATACACAGACAAAAGGGAACCTGAAGTCGATCAATTTTTACAACGATCAGCTTGAGCAGCTTCATGGATCATATAAAACAGTTCTCTATCAAAATATGGAGAAATTTAAGATTACCCGTGCACAAAGTTAGTGGTTCCGTCAAGTGGATCAACTATCCAAGTTGGTTCATCAGTCAGCTCAAAGTTTCCACAAGCAGCAGTTGTTTCTTCACCAATGAACTAAGTGTACAGATATTGCAGCAAAGAGGCAGAAACAGATCAATACAATCTTTTAACGAAGTGATTGAACTAAAGGATACAAGATGAAAGCGAACCTTATGGCTGGGGAAGCGTTGCTTGAGATGATTAAAAATGAAATCTTCACATGCCTTATCAGTCTCTGTGACTAAATCCACCTACATTGGATGAATAACATAGATTTAATTGTACAAAAAGACCCATAGCTTAAAACAAGAGACAGAAACAATCAAGATAGCTGCGTCATGCGAACTAAGCCAGGTTAAGCGGAGAAGGGTAGAGGGGCAGACGCATATGCCCTAGTTCCAGAGGCTGCGGTTAGTCCAAAGGGTTGGTCTCACAAAATCCGAATTTCTCAGTCATCAGAAAGAAAAAAAAAATCTACCAAATTTAACATCTTTTGGCCAAAAACAAAACATATGATTAGCTTTACGCAAGAAACAACTCATTCTCAACTAGTTCCTACTGGATAATAACCCATAGATCCTCGAACTCAATCCATAAACATGGTTCATTTTCTACGTAGTATCTTAATATCCAAAATTGGTCTTCATATAAGCAAGAACTGACTAGCAAATTAAGCAATAATAGCTCTTCATGAAGATCACAGGTTGACAGAAAGCATTTGTTTACAAGGAAAATCTAAAATGTCGCCAGGCGCGTGTCCAGATCCTCAAGAAGTAGTGCATTTTTGGATGATCCAACACAGGTTCTGCAACTTTTTCTCATACTCTCTAAAATGATGTTTAAACCGTGTCAGATCCTCCAAAAATCTTTTTTTAAAGGACCTGACACTCGCCCGTTCAACAATATTTTTGAAGAATCTAAGCAACATAAGTGAAGGCAAAAACTAAACAAGTACTAACCATTCCTTTGTGCTCTACATGCTTAGTCTTGTAGAATCCTTCGCGAATTATCTGCAGAACACATAAATAGAAAACAATGAAATCAAGAAAAACTTAAAAGCTAAAAATTAAATCTTTTATGATTATTCAAGCTTAAAATTGAATCTTTTTTTGATAATTCAAGCTTAAATTGAATCTTTTTCTATTAGTCAAGCTAAAAATTAAATCTTTTTTGATTGTTCAAGCTAAAAATTGAATCTTTTTGATTGTTCAAGCTAAAAATTGAATCTTTTTGTGATAATTCAAGCTAAAAATTGTATCTCTTTTTGATTGCTAAAAATTGAATCTTTTTTTGATTGTTCAAGCTTAAAATTGAATCTTTTTTTGATTGTTCAAGCTAAAAATCGAATCTTTTTTATCATTCAAGCTAAATAAGAATTGAATTCTCTATGATTGTTCAGGCTAAAAATTCAATCTTTTTTATTAATAGACCAAAAAATTCAATCTTTTTTATTAATCAATCCAAAATTGAACTTTTTTTAATTACTCAAGCTTAAAATTGAATCTTTACAACGTAATTAGCTAAAATTATTCAAAAAAATTAAAAAATTGGGTTAAATTAGATCTACCTCTCCAGCTTTTTTAGCAGCTTCAACTGCAACATCAAGAAACTGTTCAACTGAACCTGAAATTCAAAACAATCACATTTTGAAAAACAAACAATTAAGTTGCAAATTCGATTGATAATTATATGGTTAAAAAAAATTCTAAACAGAGATAAGGGCTCTACCATTTTGTGCCATATTAAAAATAAAATATTTTTAATTGTATGATAACATTTAAAAAGAGGAAATTTGATGTGAATATATATAATAATATATTTACCTCACATAGCATGTGAAAGCATATTATATAATACTACAATTATAAATAAGACAAAATTTGTTGGACCAGAAAATAACCAATTAATTCAAATCAAATTGATCTTGAATTTAATATTTATTTAATTCATGTTTGAATAAAATGCTTCTACAAGAATAATTAAATGTACAAAATTTGTTGGAACTGAAATAACCAATTAATTCAAATCAAATTGATCTAGAATTTAATATTTATTTAATTCATGTTTGTAAAAAAAAAGCTTGTACAAGAATAATTAAATGTTTTGATTTTCAATACTTTTAATATTTTTATTTAGTTAAAGAATCCCAGAAAATGACAGACGTGGAATATGCTTATGTAACGTGAGTATATGCTTATTTTTTTTATTTTTATGTTTGGTTTAAAGTAGCTTAGTGCTTGTGCACCTTTATTTTTTATTTTTATTTTTTGGGGGGGTAATATACGATTTTATATATATGATATATTTATATAATATGCATCAAATGTATTAAACGTGGAGGAATCTTGAGTTCCTTATTTGATTGTGTACTTGTTAATATATATATAAAAAATATTAGAACAATAATGAAAACTAATGCTTCGATCAATATCATAAATTAATTGCAGAAATTAATTACTCAAAAGGTGAATATACAGCTTTCTATAAATAATTTTGCGGAAAAGGATCAAAACTATCCTTAAATCATAGGAAAAGGTCTAAAAATACCATCCATTCATGTTTTGGTCTAGAAATATTCTTCCATTCACTTTTCTGACTCACATACAGTAAAACGTCTATAAATTAATACTCGATAAATTAATAATCTCTCTAAAATAATAATTTCCTCCGGTCCCAACTTGAATTAATGGAAAAAATTCACCAATTTCTATAAGATAATAAGATAATATATTTTCAGAAGACAAATATATCTAAGACAATTTAGTGAAATATGATTATATTGTGTTCTGTTTTTTCTCAAAATTTAAATATAGTTGAAGCTTATTTCTAAATTTTCTTATTGCATCCAAGAGCTTTGGTGTTATCTTTTCGAACTACACCATAAAATTGTGAAGAATTCTATATGCGATAAGTGTTTCCTTACGCGTATCTGGTTTGAAACGTAAAATATCATCACCAACATTGCTTTTTTTTTTATGATATCCACAATTTCTTCTAAACTCTAGACCTCTGAACAAGTATCATTTTCACTCGGATAATCAATAGGTTATTGACATACATTTTGCTATGGTAACCGTGATCATTAATCATGACCTTGAATTCATGAATGACGTTTTCACAAGTAGGTTCATTTAGATTCTATGAGATTGCATCTCCCGAATGATTTTTACAGTATCGAAAATAATTTGCTATTGTCTGAACATTTATTGTTAAAATAGGAATTGCACAATTGATAGCATTCAAAACTGTGATCTTTGTTGGATCATTTTGTTCCACTCCATAGCCTTCTAATCTATGATAAATTATGCTCGATAATACATCTCGAAAGCTCTTATTATCACAACATTTGAAATTAATAAGATACAATTATTTTTTATGTATTCGTTATACTTTATGTATGATATTTAATGTGAAATCGATAAATATGATACATAAATTAGTAAGATACAATGATATTGAGATAATCAAAATTAACCTTCCTCAAATCGCAAACTATTCTTTAAATTAATAAATATTAATTTATCGATTAAATAATATCTCTATAAAATAATAAAATTTCATGGTCCACTTATACTAATTTATAGAGGTTTTACTGTATACTCTTTCATTCACTTTTTTTACTTAACTTGTACCTTTATAACTTCCGATCAATTTCTTTTTTTAATAATATTTATTATTTATCATTTTCTTATTAGATTAAATAAAAATATCATCTCTATTAATTATTTCCCCATAATCTATTTAAATAATAGAATATATACCTCTTCAAGATTCCAATTTTTTTTTAAAAATCTAGTAATTTTTGTATTTTCTCTAAAAAAAATATTAAAATGTTATAAATAATTAATATATTATAAAAATATTTATCATGCCACAATATCTATCTTCCTTTATTAAAAATAAATAAATAGAAAAAACTGTTAACGTAATTTTTTTAATAATATGTGATAACTATTTTTTTTAAAAAAAATCTCCGCAAATAATTATACTTAAAAGATTAACTTAGTAAAATATGAAAAAAAAAAAAGCAGATGGATTGTCGTAACCATAGGGAAAATTGAATTAGGAAACTAGAGAAAAATGTGCGTAATGTATTTGTAGATAAAATTATATTCCATTATGAGTATGACATGATAATTTTTTTATATAAAATATTAGTCATCCATATCATGTGTAGAATCTTAATTTAATTAATTAAATATTAGTCATAAATTTATTTTTTTTTGTCACGACTCTTCAATTCAAATAAAAAATTGAGGAAATGGAGAGGAGTTGAATCCAAAAATAAATAAATAATAAAAATTACAATATTTTTTTAATAAAAATATTAGGGTCTTTAAGAAGTTGATTATTTTGGTTTGAATAAATAATGATAAATAGTATTTGGGAAATATTTTTCACCTTTTTAGAAAAATATGATTTACATCCATAAGTTTTAAAGCCTATCAAAACTAATTATAAGTTTGTATCACAAGTAAATTGGATATTCGTTGCCAATAACAAATAGTATCCATGACATTAGAGCAATTTGCTAGTTTTGAGTGAGTGCAACAAGCATCATTCCATAAATTGTGAACCAATTTTTAATCAACAACCATATCATCATTTAATATTCACTGAATATTTCATTACTACTTTGGTGTTCAAGTAAAAAATTATGCAATAACACAAACAACTACTATAAAGAGTGTTTTTGTAAAAGATAAAAGTTTGGGGTAAAATTTTAATTTTCAAAAGATTCCAAATAATGAGATTTAGCTCAAATACTAGAAAAAACTAGTATTTGGGATATTTGCCAAAAATATTTACCAAATAATGACAAATTGTATGTACAAACATTATTTGCCAAACTTTTCCCCAAATATTATTTTTGAAATCTATGGCCAAACGGGGCCCTTAGTTTCAAGGGTATAACTGAGCCAAAAAGGTGAATGAAAGAATATTTTTAATTCAAAAGATGAATGAAAGATATTTTTAAACTTTTTCCTATAGTTCAAGTGTATTTTTGACTTTTTTTTCCCAAATATAAATTATTATTCCAATAAGTAAAGCAATGATAGAAATGGTTGATTGAGATGCTTCCGGTGTGAAATTAGTGATTACCAAAATATGAAACACATTTGAATCGAAGAAGAGACCGCACAGATAACAATGAGTTGACAGACGAATTAAATGGAGAAAGTTCAGCATTGTTAAATTGACACACACTTTATATTCAGTAATATGAATGTGAGAGACCAGAAATGGCACTTACAAAAGATTCAATATAATTATTGTTCGGTAGAGAAAACACCATTTTTCTTTTTTGTATTAAACACAGAGCACAGCTCAAACAACTCAAAAAAAAAACACTCTGTTGCGCGTTCCTCGACTGCGATTTATTTGTTTTCCTTTGGTTCAAGGGCTGCAATTTCTTTCACAACTTGTGCTTTGTCAGCCTCAAACTGCTCATCCTCTGCACACAACAAAAGACGAGTAAAGACAACGATTTCATCATGCTTTCACGCGACATGGGGTGTTCGTTTCGTTTTGATTGTGTTCTCATACCTTTTTCAGTCTTAAAATCGGCAAAGAGGCGAAGAAGTTTGCTTCTGTTTGCTACAAGGATGCTAACAATATCGGGAGGTTTGTTGTGATTTGCCGCAAATAGCTGTAAAGCTTTAAAAGTTTAGAGACGAAAGCATTTGATAAAAGGAGCTAAATTTATGAGCGGATACATGAAACAATGTCGAAAGGTACCTTGAAGACATGAAATGCTTCTATCTGGATACTCTTGCTTGACTCCTGCCAAAGAGAAACTCAGCAATCAATATCAGATGATTAAAGCAATACTAATTAAGAACATTTGAAAAACTACTCGTCGATGTTAGGCTTTTCATGTCAGCTGAAGTGACGGTACAGAGCCAAGAAAATCAGACTCATGATCTGTTAATATATATATATACGTATAGGTTTGACTTTGAACAGTTCTTTAGTAACTCATGTCGAAACATCCAAATTTAAATCGATGCTGATCTACCCATTTTTTCATGTAAGACTCTAAACTAGCAATCACAGAAAGGGTATATTGAGAAGCATAGTAAAGCCCCTAGAGAATATAAAACAAATGGAAGTAAAACAAAAGAACACAGACATGGAAAGACACACAAGGAAAGAAAAAACAAACAGTGATAGCGAGAGCAAGAAGGAAGGCGGTCAATACCCTGAGCAGATTCATGAGAATCCTCAAGTTGTCTCTTGAACTAACATAACGTGTCATTACAGCAGAATTTGAGCGGTCCAACAACATATCTGCCAAGAGCTGCAACAATAAAGCAGATATTTTGAAGATTTAAGAAGTTCTAGAGTTATTTATTCCTCCAACAACATTGTGAAAGTGCTAATATGTACATTTAGTTTTCTGCAAATCATAGAATTCAAACATTGGAATATGAGGATAACAAATAAAGTTTCTAAGCAATTTATATTTCCTACGACATGAAAAAGCCAAAACAGACCAGCATCAATATTTAAGCCTATGCAAGCTTTTCCTTCAAAGAATCTCATACCTTTCATTAATAATAACCCAAAATATACATGCAGGAATGACATTCCATATGCTTCTAGAATCTTTTTCACCCTCCCGCCTGACTAGCATAAGAGAGGGTTATTTACAAACATTGACATAACCCAGTTCAATCCACATGGATTTATAAATGAACTTCACAGCATCGCCACAAACAGTGCAGCAACAATTAACAAAAATAAAAAATTTCCTTCTTTGACTTGTTTGGTCATAA